AGCAGGGCCCCGAGCGCAGCGCGCTCGGGCAGCGCTAGGGTCGCCCGGCCGCAGTCTGTGCTCGGTGGCTCCCACGGGCGCGGACACCCGCCTGGCACCCGATTTGCCTTCCTCCTCTCGCTCAAGGGACAGCTCCTGCCCCTGCCTGCATCGCCCTCTGGCACGGTAACCGGCTCGCGGCAGAAGTCAGGAATTAAAGAACAACAAACAGCCTTCGAGACGTTTTATTGTTGAATGGACAACTTCGCTACAAGTCACCTCCCCTTCCGAGGGCTGCTGCCTCCCCTCCCCAGCCCCAGGGCCTCGGGGGCGCACCGGGGCCAGGGGTGGCACTGCAGCAGTGGCAGAGGATCCAGCTTTACAAAGATGGCCCCGTGGTGGCCTTCAGCCCAAAGCCAGTCGAATGGTACAGTCTTCGAGAAATGAACAGGACAGTTCTCTGCACCACAGCCCCCTCCTCCAGCACCCTTGGCTTCCTCTGCCCAACACCAGCTGCATGGAAGACTGTCTGGGGCAAAATTTTCCAAAGCATTCACATCTTTTCAGCGAGGAACACAGGCACTTAGAGTCCCGTGTCCACAAAGGCAGCGAGGCTCTTGGGTCACCTCCAGTTGAAGGGGACACCAAACACCAAGAAGCCTCTGCAGACCTGGGCCTTAAGAGCTTAATCTCATACAGCAGTTGCTACAAATCGGGAGTCCTAGGCACTTCTGAAAATTTTACCTCAGTTAATCCTGGCCAGGGAAACCAAAGCCCTGAAGTTACTAGAATCTATTAAGGCAGAGTTCAAAATGGTTCTGTCCCACCTCTTCCCTAGAGTACAGTTTGTTATCTTTGTACCTCAGGGATAACCCCCCTGCCATTGTGTTTGGAAGCATCTAAAACTTCATTTCAAGTGATTCTGAAACTGAGATCCTCGTGGCAGTGATGGCATTTGTATGTTTGCTCATTCAGCACCAAGTGGGGAGGGACTCAGCCCCGAGCGGCAACATGGATCGTAGCAAAGCATTGTAAAGTACAGTCACTGAGGGAATGAGGTCCCCCGGCACAGCTTTGCCAGTCTGACTTCAATCCAAACAGGCATCGGCAGCGGAAGAAAATACACATTTAGTGCTCCTTTTCTGGATTTGGTCTGTATTTGGAAAAAAGTCGGCAAGAAAACAATGGACAGAACTTTTCTAATTCACACATTGTGCTCTAGAGGTTCAACAGAGACCCTTTTTTTCTTTTTTTTTTTTTATCTCTGGATGAATTTCAGCACCCTTGAGTTACAGTGAAGGCAGAAGGTGAAAGGAGTTGCCAGAGGGTTTGATTCTGGGACCTGAGTGCAGAGCGCTCTATTTAGGTCAGTAGGAAGCACAAGAGCTCAGCAGGAGGGTGCAGCCCCAGCTTGGCTTTGTTAATACTTGATACAATAAAGATAATAAACAGCTTTTAAAATAAGATACATTGTGGCATGAGAATTCACTCCAACAGCCTCTGCTAGTGAATCACTGCCAAAAGTGGGATGGGTTTGGTGTAAGTTGTGTGTGAATTAGTAAAGCTCTACTGTATAACCAGGTAATTTAAAAAGAAAAAAAAAAAGCCACCTGTACCAGTCTTGGATGAGACTGAGTCATAGCCTCAGTTGGTGCAAAACAAGTGTAACCCCACTGATTTTTGTGCTACTTCACTGACACCAGCTGTGAACCCTAATTCCTTGTAGAAGCCTCGTGAAAGAGTCAAAAGCTGCCCGCTGAAACACATCCCTACCACACAAATGTCCCAAACGCATCACTAAAGTGGAGTGGAGATTCCCACTATGATCCCTACCAAAAATAGAAAGCATGGCCCCAAACCTGCTCAGAGCAGGGCTGACATGTGGCAAGCAAGGCATGTTTTTAAAGTTACAGAATAAGACCCGACTTGCTATCCAAATAACATTTTTTTTTTGTTAAATAAACTGGCCCAAGATTCTTCTCCAATCCTTTAAGATCACTCAATATTTCCAAAGTGAACGTAACTTTCAAAACCAACGCTGATTAAAAAAGATGTTTGATGATACCTTAAAAAATACCCAGAATATCAAATTAATTCCAGTCCGGCATTATAATTAGTTAAGAATACCTCCTAAAAATTATATCCTCACAAAAAAATGTGGGTACTGAAGTTAAAAGCATCAGAAACGTTATGTACTTGAAAATACCACCAATCTCTGAACGATTAAAAACAAATCTGAACATTCTTTGGAATCACTGAGTTATTAAAACACGTGAGTTTCTCTACAGTCTCCGCACTGTCTTTGCAAATCAGTCTGTGAACAGATTAAGTCTCTGAGCAGTTTAATGTCCACTGTCGGAAAACAGAGTCTCTGACCAGCAGGAGGCTACATTAAACGGGAAAACATCGGCATTCTCTCCTTAGCACTGACTTCTGCCAAAAACAGAGACTTGCGAGCACAAGACAGAACAAACGGCCCTGGTTTAGGAGATATTTCTTTCCTCTTCTTGTCTAAAATGCATTGTACGTGGAATTCCAGTGCAACATTTTTCAGCACTCACAACAGGCGAGAAGGAAGGGAAGGAGAGGAGAGATGCTCTCCTACGGTCTTGCCTGGAGGAGCCAACAGCTGCAGTACGCCGACCTACCAGCCCTCCTCGACGGTGCAACCAGTTCCCATCGCTGGCAACTTGAAATAGCTTATTAAAGATTTCGGTTTTAAGATAAACAAGATTACAGTTTAGTATGAAACCTGGCCGTGGCTATGGTTCTATGTGCGTAAAGATTGGCTAAAGATGCTTTCCCCTTTCAGCATTGGTTGGAGTTGGTTAAAAACAAGTCTGTGGTATTTCTCCACAGGTGTCATGAGATGTGAGAGATCTGTCTGACCCGGGTTTGTATCTCCTGTCGACACAAAGGGCAGGTCTCCAGCTGCAAGGCACACTCCATGCACAGGTCACTGAAGGAGAAGAAAAAACCAAATTCAATCACTTAAAGCCTGCATTTACAGTAGGAAAAACAGTCCAAATTCGGTGAGCCTGCAAGACACACACATTCAAGCCAAGTCTTCCTGTGCAGAGATTGGGAATTGCGAGTCAGGTGCTGCGGATCCTCAGCTTTGAGAGGAGCTCCCGCTGCTCAGCACCTTACAGACCTGTGTTGGGATCGGGATCGCGCTTGCCTTTGTTAATCTTAATGCGTGCTCTGGCCCAGGGAGCAGCAGCCCCAGCGCCCTGTGTGAAGCTGCCTCCCCTTCTCAGGGACACGCACTGGCACGTCTCCTCTCCTTTTAACTTTCCAGCACGTAGACCACGGCAAGACTGCTTACCTGGGTGCAATAAGCCAGTTTAGTCCAGTGTTTTTAATTTCCTAGTGGGCTGCTTAAAGGCAGGAAAGGGCTGTTATGGTATTACTCATCCTGCTGTCCCATTTTTTCCACATTTTGCTACTTGAGACAATCCTTTTGTTAAACATTTCATGAGTGTTTGAGTATATAATGAATTTTCTGCTCTCCTCCCATGGTCTGGATTTCACAACACCAGTACTAAACAAGTACTCGTCAGTAAAACCTTTGATACCAGGGAATTAAGACTTGGTAGACCAGAGGTAGCATACATATGTAGCCACAGTGCTTCCCCAACCTCAAATACACAATTAGGGATTAAATCTGCTCTGGGGAACGCTGGAAATACCATGCTTAACCTCAGTCACATCCTTAAAATAGAAGGAGCTGTTTCCCTTATGCTGGGGAGTCAATCAGGACAGGCAGGGTTGCATCTGGTCTCACCTAAGCTGAATGCCACACATACATTTTCCTGTTTCTTTGGGGTTTTTGGGTTGTTCTGGGTGTTTTACCTGTGTCCGCACGGCCCGAGTTCCGTGTCTGCTACCTCATCACAGCAAAGCGTGCAGCAGTTCTCTCGGATGCTCACTTGCTTCAGCAAAGCCAGGCGCCTGTGTCTGAAGAGAGACACCCCCCCATACATGCCCACGTGAGCTTGACTCGAACTGATAGACCCGTTAGCTATTCTGAGCCTTGCACCAAGACCAATGCTACGCTCACCCGTGCTACTCAACACCACTGCTGACAAATGTCGATCAAAGCTTCCCACAAAAAGGCTTAGCACACCCGGAGATGGCCAGAACAGGCTCTGACCCCCTGTTCTGCTCTCGGAAAGGGACAATGAGGGCGTTTGATTACAATTCTGCCAGTTCCCACAGCTGAACACTTCAAGTTTCTTCTTTAGTGTTGTCCTGGTTTTGGCTGGGATAGAGTTAATTTTCTTCATAGTAGCTAGCATAGTGCTGTGTTTTGGATTTAGTACCAGAAGAATGTTGATAACACACTGATGTTTCTAGTTGTTGCCAAGTAGTGCTCAGACTACTCAAGGACTTTTTGAGCTTCTCCTGCTCGGCCAGGTGCATAACAAGCTGGGAGTACAGCACAGCTAGGACAGCTAACCCAAACTGTCCAAAGAGCTATTCCATACCATGTAACGTCACGCTCAGGGGGGGTTAGTCGGTTGGTCGTGGGGAGACTGATCGCTGCTCAGGGACTGATCGCAGCTCGGGGCGGGCTGGGCATTGGTCGGCAGGTGGTGAGCAATTGCATTGTGCATCACTCGTTTTGTATATTCTGTATATTCTGTTATCATTCTCATTATTACTATTATTATTATTTTCTCTTATTAAACTGTCTTTACCTCAGCCCTCGGCTCTAACCTTTTATTTTCTTTCCGATTCTCTCCCCCATCCCACTGAGGGAGGGGGGGAGGGAAATGAGCGAGTGGCTGCATGGTGCTTAGTTGCCAGCCGGGTTAAACCACGACAAGTGTCCATGTTCTTTTAAGAGTTAAGGAAAAAAAACCCAAATAAGCCACACAAACCCACATATCAACAAAATTCAGAAACGCTGTAATGCCATAACACAGTTTAAAAGAACAGAAATGGAAAATGAAATCACCAGCCCTGTATGGCAACTGCCACAAGGGAGAGTATACAGATGAAAATCCCCCATGTGATGAAACAAAACATTTTGGATTTGGAACGCATACACTACAGCTCGAAGCTCCTCAATGGCATGTGACATGTCTGGCCCAGGCTATGCCCCATGCGAAGCAGCATCAAATTCAGCACAGCTCTACATGAATTCACGTTAAGTCCTGTGATGGACAATTAGGTCCACTCAGGCCCTTGTGTTTTTATTCCTACCCCTTTTAAGATCAAAGCTGTCTTTTCATTTAGGACTGGCTTATTGTTTCCAAACAGTTCAGGCTGTACAGCAGGGATGGTCTTAGTTTACACAAAGAGCAAGTGTCTGACCCTGAATGGAGCCTTTCAGCCCTATCACACGTTAAACAGGCTCTAGCACAGGATGCCAAGTTTCTCTAGTCAGGCATCAACAGGAAACTGGTTTCCCCCAGTTCCTCTCTACACCTTTTGGCACAAGGAGCAGCTGTCAGAGCTGCAAGAGCAGCGCCAGAATGGTATCTCATCTGATCATCAGCTCAAAACTGCCAAACTCCTCATCTCCTGCAGGACTCTAACGGGACAGAGGAATGCTTAATTTAATTAAATGAGAACTAACAAATCGCCTTACGGGACTGAGTCAGACTCACTTCGATCACCCGCAGTCACAAGCAGCTGTAAATTGCTCTGCCTGTATGCAACTACAAAATGGCCTGGCACGTCGCGTTTGATTTTCGCTGCAGAAATGCAGCATCCCAAGCCTCAAACTTTGCCTATGTGCGATGCAGATCCAAGAGCAAGTTTGTTTGTTTTCTTTTCAAACATTAAGATACTCAAGTGCCTCAAGCACACTCGATCAAACGGCCAGGCAATGCAAAACCAGTCTGAATTTTACAATAGCCAGGGGTACCCAACCTCCAACAACCCCTGCCCCCACTTAATTAGATGCAACAAAAGATTATTTCAACCATGTACATCAGCTCCACTTCAGAGGGCCCCAAGCTGCAAATCTGGGGACCGCTCTACCTCAGATTACACTGTGCACTGTTACTGTTCATGTTCTAGTAAATTACTTATTACCGACAACCTGAACCAGAAGAGCTGTTATCTAGCATCCCTGCCGAAAGCTTGGTAAGTTAAGGAAAAACGTATCCAAATCTGTTCCTATGTGGCTTGATTTCTATTTAGGTGGGCAAGCACTTCTGAACTTGGATAACCTTTGTTGGTACTGTCATTCACAAACAGGGGAATTCTCATCTGGATCAGAAAAGGACAACCTCCAGTCTCACAGTCATGCAGTACCTCCATGCTGCCAATATCACCAATTTAGGTCAATTTTAAATAAGACGTCTCTTTTTAATTAAGACTATGCCTCCTCAATCAACCTAATCACTACAACCTACTCACTACAAGAAAGACATTGCATTGCTGGAAAATGTCCAGAGGAGAGCAACGACACCGGGGAGGGGTCTGGAGCCCAAGGCTGCTGGGGAACATCTGGGGGAGTTATGGGTGTTGAGCCTGGAGAAAAGGAGGCTGAGGGGATACCTTATCGCTGCCTACAGCTGCCTGACAGGAATGGCGAGCCCGGGGAGGTCGGTCTCTGCTCCCAGGGAACAGGCGATGGGACGAGGGGAAACGGCCTCAGGTTGTGCCAGGGCAGGTTTAGGTTGGACATTGGGAAAAATTCCTTCCCCACAAGGGCTGTCAGGCCCTGGAAGGGGCTGCCCAGGGAAGGGGTCAAGTCCCCATCCCTAGGGGTATTTAAAAGCCAGGCAGACATGGTGCTTAGGGCCAGGGTTTGGTGGTGGGATGGCAGGATTAGGGGAACGGTTGGGCTTGGGGAGCTTAAAGGGCTTTTCCAACCCATATGACTCAGTGATTCTGTCTGACTCTGTGATCATTCTTAGACGACAGGAGGCACTTATACTAAAACCAGTTTACTGTGCAGTACTAGTTAATTTTACTTTAGCTTAACATTACCAAAAAAATATTTTAATGTAATGGATTTTGGTTGTACATCTCCTGCCCTGCCCTAAGTTCACTGGAGCCTATGGTCTAATCCTTTTCCGAGAGGCCTATGGAGGCCTGACCCCATAAAAGCAACTCCAAATTGAAGCATTTTATTTCTCTGTACGCAAACACACTCAAAGTAGACACGAGGATTACCTGGGCAAAATTATTTTCTCTTCTGCTGTCAGAAAGGCATAATCATTGAAGGTACTAAACTTCATTGGTGGTGGGTACTTGAAAGGTTTTGCCCCGAAGTTGAACTCACATTGTTGGTAGGACATGAAACTAGCTGCAGCAAAAAAGCCAGATCTGCAATGTGACCAACAACAGACACTTCAGAAGGATGTAAACAACAGAGCTTTGCAGACAGGTTACTACTATCACCGGACAAAAATACACCCTGAAACAAAGGCCAGTTCCTTCAACAGAAGCCTTCTACAGCTCACGGAGAGAAGAGCCTCCAACACCTCCCAGTCCAGCTGCACTTACTGTCCTCATTTAGCACTCAACTTCTGAATTCCTCATGGGGGTTTATCTGAATTTACTGCCAACCTAGGTCATAAAGGCTGCCTACTCTGCAAGTAAGACCAGTCACACCAAAAGCACTACAAGCATCTGAGCAGCCCACAGCCTGATCCTCTTTGCACTGATAAGCTTGGGTATCTCCTTTGGCACTGGAAAAAGTATTTTTCTTCCCAACAACCGCTGTTCAGTATTGCTGTGAGGAGCAGCACCAACTGCAGGGGACACCTCCACGTCCACCGCAACTGCTGCTTTACTGGAGCAGGCACCAGTCTGGGGGAGCTTGCAACCCCCATACAGTTGCTGCGTGGGACCCGTGCACGATGAACCCGGGGCTGAGCTCACCTAGCACAACGCCCGGCTGTGCCTCCTGGCCCTGGCAGGATTACCTCCGGGCCACCCCCTCCTCCACAGCCACCTTGTAGAAACGCCACAACCACCACCCCCTTCCACTTTGATTTACTGAAGGGCCCAAAGTGAGTGACACCCTAAGCTCTGCCCAAGTAACAGAACCTGCTGAGCATATAAACGACATCCTCCACAGGAGTACCACCACAAGCTGGACAGACAGGCAGCTGCCACTCTTTAAACTGAGCCACCCTTTGCTTACATCTTGAACTGCATTTTGAGGAGAAAACATGAGCAAAATTGTGAATTAATACCACTGTGCTAATGAAGTACTGTAACGTTTAATGGTGCTGCACAGGCAGCTTCTTCCCCACATATCACACCAGCTTAGCTTTTCAGAACTAAAAGCTGTGAGAGTCAGGAGAGTTGCGTGTTGATTTTAAGAGAGTTAGCAAAATGAGCCTCACAGCTTTCTGTAATGATACCAAGAGACCTCCTGCCGTGAACATTCAATATGCTGCTACAGGAACCAGCCCCACTGAACGGCAGGATGTCAACATGCACGCTTCAGCATTTACAGGACTGAGGCTTTAGTTTTAAAAGATCAAAAATTCCGCAAGCACTACTAGAAGTCCGTTCCTCTTTGCTACAGCCTCATTCTGTCCCAACGCTGTGCTAGTCTGACAATAGAAGACAGAGTTGAACCTGTCTTTGGAAGGTCCAAAGTGTTTATTTTGGACCCTGAGATCCACCTGTAAAACGCTATCCTCCTCACTGCTTTCCAAGCAACTTTGGGTTAGGAAACCTGCTTAAGCATGGCTTCAGGTCAGCAAATGTGAGTTTACATCTCCAATGGGGAATACTTCATATAATTAAAAGCACTATCCATGCAGGTCACTGCCCTTCCAAATGAGCACATACTTACACAGCAGATGAAAATACTTGCTTCTCGGCAGGGAGCTGGTTTCCATTTAAATAGAAGATCATTTGCTTTTCTTGCAAGTCGAGGAGAAATCCTATTGTGTCTCCTTACAGACAAAGCAAAAACAATTTCAAGATTTCAATTCTGTTAAATGCCAACAGCTCAAGCAGTTACTGTTTTAAGTATCATAGAGCTCACTATGAGTTGTCTCACTTAAACAAACTGTCTGCAAAAGCATAAGAGAAGAAACATTGATAAAAAACAGTAACAAAAGAAAAACAAACCAGGACACAATAGTAAAAAAAAATAATTTTAGTCTGTCAGAGCACTGTAGAAGTATAGCAGAGTATTTGCCAAAGCCTGAAAAAGCTGCGCTCTGTCTCTCCTTGGCTACTTTACACCGGTGGAACAGAACACATGGATCACAGACGTGGATCCTCAGAACACATACTTGCTAAACTCTCAGTTTCCAATATGCTTGTGCTATTTATTTTTAAGCTGTGTTTTAATTTAGCCACCCTTGGGAAAAGTTTTTCATGGCAGAGAAGGTGGCGCAGTTCACACAAGTGCGGCGTGTGCAGACTCCTACTGAGGTTTCAAAGCTGAGATCAGGAACAGAACTTTGCTGCCCGAGCACTTATCCCAGAATTTAATGTAAGCAAGGACAGTGCAACTCCTCCTTAGAAAAAAAAAAAAAAAAAAAAAAAAAAAAGAAAAAAAAAAAGAAAAAAAGAAGAAAAAAAAAAGAGGCTAATTTGGAGATCAAGACTTTTTTCCTTCTCTAAAATAACTTTTTCAACCCAGAAAGGAAGATTTCAACCCTGTTTTGTAGGGCTACAGACACCTAGAAAAAAGTCTTAGGATAAAGTCTCCAGCAATGTTAGTTGGTGCCAGGATTTGTATCCTGCCTATGACAAGAAAAAGCATTTAACCAACAAGGTTCTCTTCACACAGACAGTGGAACAAGAGCATGGCGTCCATTTTGGACATTTAAACTGCTGCAAATACCAGTAAAGGCACTGGTATTATTAATAATAATTATTAAGCCTTTAGTATCACCGGGACCAGGCAGCAACTGCTCTGTTCGCGCTTACCAATGAGCTGCTTTATAGACACCTGCAAGAGGAAAAAATCCCATGCAGAAATCAAGCTAGGATAAATAGGAGATGGACCGAATACCTTCTTTCCAACAGGGATGGGAGTGTGGTTTACTTCTGGCATTGTACCAAATCAGCTGCCGGCAGCCATCGTACGCGCAGGAGTATTCATCATCCCCGATGCCGTAACCTTCCTTTAGGAAAAGGGTAATAAAGCATTTCAGTCTGCAGCCGTTCCTCCCACAGAAGGGCTACAGTTTATTTTTATTCACTAAACCATTCACCCCAGAACAGAAGGGTTTCTCCCACCCCTGCAAAGATAGTTTTTTCAACTTAGTTTCATTTTCACATCAAAAGGAGTTTGTTGGGGTAGGGATGGGGGAAGAAGGGGATGTATCGTCTCCAAGTGTTCTTCATTCTCTGTGAGCTCAAATCACTCCTAGCTGTTAAACAGGTTAAAATTCACAAGGCTGGTACCCAAGGAGCTAACTTTTTGCAGCTTAAAAAGTCAACACAGAAGCATATCCCTCTCTTATCTTGAAGTCCCAGGACCAGACTTGTAGCACCTTCCCCCTGAGATAGCCAAGTGCCGCCAGAACACAGAGTACACAGGAGAAGAACCACCCCACGGCCCCTTCACTGAGTTTGTTGCATATTGTGCCCCTTTCAGTGCCAGCCGCCCTCAGTTTGCGAGAAGGTTATCGAGCGATCGTCCCAAGGGCCAAGACAAGGCAACACTAAAAGTTTCAGAGTGGGAGAAGAATCTGTCATGTAGGAGAGCGCAGACACAAAACCCAAAAGCTTTACAGCAGATAATTCCTTGTGCTCAGCATGGCTTGTCTGGAGCGCAAATACCAGACAGCATCTGATTCCACAAGCCTCAGATGGCCCAAATTAAAGCTAAGCCCAGCTAAAGGGTGTTAAATGCTGTATGTAGGACTGGTCTTTTTGTTACACATGCTAGAAATAAAGAGCACCTGGCTACTCCGATGACCGTGACGTACCCAGAGGCTGTATTTCAGGTAGATACCTGATGAGCTTAAACAACAGCCGCACTTCACCACCAGCAACAGCAAATCACCCTGCTCAGGGGCGCGACATCTCCTATCTTCATACTTGTACAGGAGCACAGACAGACACATGTGCACCAAGCTCCTTAACAGCCAGCGAGAAAAATCTTTTAAGCCTCTTAGCAGTCTAAAGACAGACACATGGCCTTTTATTTCAAACAGTTTCCATTACAGTCAAGGGCTGCAATGCCTGTGCTCCAGACAGGTCTGTGTGGTATTTTTGGCTGGTTAGGGGGTTGTTGTGTGTTGGTTTTGTTTTTTGTTTGGTTGGTTTGGATTTTTGTTTGGTTTTTTCATCTAAATCCCACTTGCAATCCCATGCTAGAAAGGCAGGGCTGGACTCTGGAGGTCATGTAGAGATACCTGCACCTTGTGCACCAGCAGAGGACAACGCTGTTTACATGAATAATTAGAAGAAATGGAGCAAGGCCACTGAACTCACAGGAGGACGGGGAGAGAAGCTGCTCTCCCGTTCTTGCTGGGATTCTTGCCACTGGTGCTTGTTTCATCTCCTCGATGCATTCCTCTTATCCCCTCCCATGGATATTTACTCACATGTATGTAAGTGGCCTTTTTCCACATTTGCCTCTGCATTTGACTCAGCTGTAGAATGACCTTTTCTATAATAATCAGAAATGAGCAGTTTTAACTGCTTATCTCCACATTTCTTATTAATTTCTATTTTTATTTATATACTTCAATGAACTTTAATGGAAGTTTGGGAGGTTGATTATACAGAAAGTCCTCTCTAAGCTGAAGCAGATTTTTTTTTGGGTGGTAATTATTCTGCTTTCTTTGTATTATGGAGATACTGAATGAAAGTGCCACAGTGTACTGAGTCTGTAACAGCCATACAGAGGTAGCATGCAGACTTAAGAAGAAAGAAATCCTAGTTACACCTCTACCAACATCTGGGATTGTTCTTTGGCTGCAGGTTTGGCCTTTGTGTGCACATGGCATATTTTGCTTTAATGTCAGTACATAATTTTAAAAGTGAATTAGTAGGAAGAAGAATACTTAGAATTAAGAACAAGACACCAAGTTGTCTGGATGGGAGGGAGAGCAGAGCAAGCTACAGAATCAGACAGTGCACTTATTCTATATTATCAGAATAAAGGCGAAAAGGTAGAGGGTTAAAACTTCTTGTAATCCTTAGTTTTAATTAAAAAGAAGCCGTCACATACCCAAACCATGCTGTGTTACTGCTACCAGCAGATCTAATGATACCATGCTACCTCAGAGTCAATTTAAATAATTATTTCCCTTGAGAAAGTTAATTTAATACGCAAGTATGTCCAAGAGGGGAATCAAGCGGCTGCTTTGTGACCTGTGGGAAGGCAAGTGCGTGCTAACCTGCTGGTTCCTATTGCTCACTTCACAACAACAGACAGCAACCACTGCTGTTATCTGAAGAATCCCAAGAGGCTAAGCCACACAAAATAATCAATTTCCCCGTAGCTTCTGGCCAACAGCAAGTAGATTACGAGCTGTCACTGCCAGCAGCTCCGCGTTACTTGTGCAAAGCGTCCATCTGTGGCGATGACAACACAGCCTCTTCTTGCACCACTGCCTTCAGCAAAAACAGCTTTGTGGAAGTCCAGAAAAAAAGAGACAGGCAAGTGCCCCATGACTACCACAGAATAACCAGAGCTATTATAGGTGGTGTAAGTAGAAAAATACTGAAGTTACATCATCAGCCAGATGATGTCACATGTACTCACGTGATTGAGAAATTTGCTGTCTTTGGTAGCCCATCCTATCTGCATCACTCCTGACGTAATGACCGTAACTTCATAGTACCAAACTCCAGAATCGACACAGAATGTGCATCTAACGCTTTCGAAGGATGAGGCATCGCATCGAGCCTGCCAAAACCCACACAGAAGTTCAGTTAGCATGCAAACAAGCTCCTTCCCTCCCTGGATCAAGTTTCTTGCATGTAAGAATACACCAGCACAATTTTAGAGGCGATTCGGACCAAAAGTGACCTCTCCTTATAGCCATAATTGTCACACAAGCCAGCAAGTAGGCAAGGCGGAAAATTGTTCAGTAGCAAGCCATGGGGAAGAAAAACCAACACCCAAAACAGAGCTGATGGGGTCAATTTAAAGATTTAAAGACTAAGACAACCAGGAGAGGAAGACCCAAGTCACTGGTTGGTAGCTGACTCCTGGTACAAGGGATGGAGAGGCGTGCCATGTTACACAAATTAGAAAAAGTAGCGGAGGAAGAAAAAAAAGACCACACCACATGGCTGAGACAAAAATCCTACTGCTATGGGCTTTTCACAACAAGACAGGGCAAACAACAGGAATTAGACAGGGCAAACAACAGGAATTAGACAGGGCAAACAACAGGAATTGTACTTGGTGAACAATTTTAGGCAGAAATGAGTGAAAAGCCAGCTGGCTCTTAAGAATCCTCCTCACTTTTCTAAGTTCTGGGGCACAGGTACTGTGAACATTTCTACGACCAAGATGAGCATAGGGATGCTACAACCCCCTGACAAAACAAGTCATCTCTACAAAGCTAGCAGGGAGCTTTGATTCATTCTAGGAAATTGCGGGAGCAAGTAGCAAACAAAAATAGTTGAAACCTGCCTTTTTCTTCAGACTCCTTTTCAGACTGAGATGATGAAGTGACATCCTACCTCCAGTCCATGCGGCGAGATCTTCAGGTACTCGCTGACATCGTTGCTGTTCAGCATAGCCCTAATGTTGGTCAAGTCAACCTTCTCATACGTAAACTGCCTGCCTTCTTTTAAAACTGCAAAATAAAACTTATTTTCATCACTGCTGCAGAAAAGCCTCATTTTAAACATCTTGCACAGTGGCAATCAATCTCGCTAGGATCCAACTTGTTTTCGGCACAAGTGAGTGAAATATCAGTATTCTGCCAGCAGGAAGACAGCATCATTTCCAAAGCACCGTGTGTTAAACGTCCTCTAAACACAAGACCACGACCTATGCCTCTGACTAGCACTCCCACAATCCAATTACTCCTTTCAGGAAAGCCACAGGCAAACGCAAGGCATCCAAGTTCACACCAAGATGCCTCCGTTTCAGGAGTTACCACTGTATTTGTGTATTCAGCTGGTGGAGTTTTTCTGATTCATCACAGTGGAAAAGACTTTGCGGATGGGGAAGAAGGGGAAAATAATGATTTCTTCTTTTTTTTTTTTTACCCTCTCCTTTTCAGATAGGCAATGAACTTGAACTGAGCCAAAGCAGCTCTTCCTCCCTGCATCCCCTCTTCCCATGGAAGGATCAGGAGTGTTTCTCTTGCCAAGTGGTTGCATTGCTGACACATGCACGTTAATTTACAAATCGGAGATCTTATCCAAGGACCCTTTGTGTATCCCAAACTTGCTAGGACGCTTATATGGGTGTTTACTAAACACAGCTGAGCCTGACACTCTGTGAGCCAGCCAACATCCTGCAAAGCCGTACAGGATCTTTTACCCAAATTAATCTAAAAGGTGTTAGAAACTACAAGGTCTTCAGAGCTGTTCACCCTCGAAATCCCAACTAAGGGAGCAAACTGGGTGACTGTGACTCATCCAAAAGGACAGGCCAAGCAAAGTGCTTTGTCACACACTCTTCACTTCAATCGCAAAGCCGCATCTTTCCTTTAAGAAGTCTTTAATAATTCTGTGAGACTGTGCACTGCTGGGCCGCAACCACAGCGACTGTCACCAGGGTGTGTCAGTGATCCAGCTGTGCTGCAGGGATGGAGCTGCTCAGTGCATTGGCTGAGGCGCAGGTTACAGGAAACACGGGGCAAAGAATTTTCATCGCAGCTCCAACTTGCTAAGTACAAACCACTTCCTTGCCCAAACATTCTCCCTGCCAAACCTGCCTTGCCATGCAATTACATTGATTTGCCCTTTTCTTTTTTTTTGAAGGAGGCTTATTACATATGCAGTCAGGCTTATTACATTTGCAGCAAGTGCTTATACAACACAAACACAAAGTCATCCTCCATCTCTTTGGAGAAGCGACGAATATTGAACGAATCCATCCCTCTGTTATACCTACACAGATTGTCTAAACTCCACTGAGCGCAGAATCCAACCTGGCGTTTTAAATAGTCTGGGTTATCCGTCCATTTCTCTAGCAAGACCAGCTGGTCGCTAATGCACGATTCAGACACTGTCATTTTATTTTCACCTGCAATTTGACAGCAAAAAAGAACAAAACTGGGGGTAAGTTTAGGCCAAAATAGTAACATTCTACAGATGCAGTAGAACACCCCTCCCCCTTCCAAACCTCAGCATTAGAAACAACATGACAGGCAGATGTGCAGTTAACTTGTCACTCAGATGCACCATTTCTCGGCACGGAGCTGCATCGTCACGGCTGGTCTCCATCTCTCCAAGCCATATTTACTCCTTTTCAAGCACCAAAGGCCTCATGCCCCAAGTCCTTCTACAGCACTGTCTAACTGGGAGGACTGCACTGAGTTTCAGCAAGTACCTCAAAGGTTTTGAGGGGCAGAGAGGTGTCACTACAGCAATAAATATTTCTTCCTGCTTGTAAGCAGACAAACACTTCTCTTCTACATTTGTGTTCCCCCCAACTCAGTCTCTGTCACGCTCCCAAGTGTTATCAGATGAAGCAAGCAGCAACCACACGGTAGAAGCCACACTACGGCTGTTCCAAGCCCTATCAGGCTGATACTTACTCGTTTGTGCAAACTTCTCCAGTGCTATTAGTGCAAACAGCATCACTGTTGGGTGGGACTGGAAGTTCTAAAACACGGGCAGTAAGAAAAGTTATTTAATAAAAATACCCAGCGCAGATAGATAGGAAAAGCTGTTAAGTCTGTCAGAGAACACATTGGGTTGTGAGGGGTCTCCAAAGGTCAGCTGGCCTGCCCCCCCTGTTGAGAGCTGGTTTGAGTAGAATCACAGAATTGTTTGGGTTGGCAAAGCCCTTTAAACTCACCAAGCTCAACTGTTCCCCTAACCCTGCCATCCCACCACTAAACCCTGGCCCCAGGCAGTGAATCAGGCTGCTTGTTGCCCTGCTGACTTCCAGTTACCTCCAAGGATGGCAACACAGCCGCCCCCCCTCTCTGGAATCTCAACTTTCTATAACAGACATTGCCAGTATTTATCAACCATGACCCTAACTTTCCACAGCAGTAATAAAAAAAAAAAAAAGGTAAAAAAAAAAATCAATTGCATGGTAATTGCTCAGTACGGATACATACAAAAAGATTGAAGACGCTTACCAAGCTGTGAAGCAAATACTCCAATATGCCAGGGCTGAGCAGGCCTATACTCGCAGGACCTACAAGAACATTAAAAATGAAATCCCTCCACAGGATCTGCCACATACTCATCATCACACAGAACTTTCAAATTGAACAACATTTAAGAACTTTGCAGCAGAGGAGAACTATAATAGCAAACAGTCATCATTGTTCCCAGCCAAATATTTGCTACATGTTTGATAATTACAGTGTCACTGCAAAGTCACAAAGATATTCAGTTTACCTGCAGTAAATGGGTACAGAGCTCCAGCCAAACTTTCAAGTTTTGAAGTAAAACTCCATCAGCCCCTGCTTAGCATTTTTATGCTCACTGCTTTCAAAAAGAGCCCGACTCCCCTTCACTTCCAGAGGCCAAGTACAAACACCAGCTCCATTTATCAGTAGCCCAAAAAGATGCAAAACTGAGCATCTAATACAGCCTGCTTAGTAGTTAATTATACCGTCTGCAGCAGCAGCATGGCAAGCAGCCGAAAAAAAAAATAAAGTGCCCTGAAATACTGTCTGCTCGATCACGAGAGATAAAAGGGAATCAAACTCTGGCATCAACAAACTCTAACAGACTGCAAAGGGTTCCAACACAGCGTTAATGGATCTGCTGCCTGAGCTGATACAGGGGGAACCGTTCCATGGCCACCAAGACAAAAGTTGATACAGAGTCTAGTTCTGACTTAGTATAACAGGGTGTGCATACTGGAGTCAAGAAACACTTCCTGCCCTTGTTCTTTACGGCGTTTTTTGACAGAAATAGTGAAACTATTTTTTAATAACCATTAGGTGATACCAGACAATGGCTTTTTCCTCCTTTTCCTGTCCGCTTTCAGAGAAGGAGCAAAACACTCAATACAAAACCAACCATCAGCAGGGAGGAAACTTAGTCATCAATTTTCCAGCAGGGCACTCAAAATGACAGGGAATAAAAGGTTCTATATGAAAAGTGACCTTAAAATAGAATCCCAGCAGCTTTCATTTAAGCGATGAGAAGAGAGAAACTTTTCAGCTAACTACAACAGGACACACGTTTAGCAGAAAGAGCATCCTTCTTTTCTATCTCTGTACAGCCTCAGAGCACCAATTTGGTACCCTGCCTGCAGAACAGCTGAAGGGCTACGTGTTCTCAGTAATTCCCGCCCAGCCAGAAGACTGATTACCAGTGCTAAGGCACTATCCCATCAACAAACGTCGATCCACAGTCGCCAGCCATACGTCAGAAGGATTTGGTCTTTTTACGTATTTGGGACTGCGAATGGCTCATTCAGACAATGGCTCATTCAGACACTGACTGCTCAACATTTTAATCAAGCAGACTTTGTCACACAAGGTCTTCCCTTGATGCCAAACATTAATCAGTTCTAAGAAAAAGTTTCTGAATTCGTCTGCATCGTGGCTGCTAAAGCAGCAGGCGTTTCAGTGAGCCAAGGGCAAGCTTTCAGAAGAACCCTGTGGCGTTACCTGCTAACTTCTCTGCTAGGCATCCCAGTACCGCGGTCGTATTCCGGTGTTTGGCAGGGTGACAGGCATCCTGGCAAGCAGCAGCTCCACTCAGGTTTAGTATCTCAGTTAACTTTTGTAACGCATCCTGAAAAAGGAAGAATGGAAGGGGCTTCAACACTACCAACAGATACTGCTTTCCCCCAACGCAATGTAGCATGACAAATTATTTTTACACTGTATTACTGAAGTCAGCATCATATTCCAGACAGCACGGCAATCTTTTAAGACTTGTAGCTTTAAAATTACCATCAGACTGCTGGTGACTGTTGTGATCAGCAGCTCAGGACACCTCTGGGTGCACACAAGTGAGCAACCCATAGCAAGAAGAACTTGGACAGTAGGCAGAGGCAAGCAAGAGCAATGGGCACACACGGCATTACCACCAGCTCATCTGTCTCCAGCATCCTAAAGCTCCCGCCCCTTCCAAAAGAAATGGGCTGGTTTAGGCTTTAGAATTCAGGACTGGATATGTGCCCCCCCAAAAAAAAGCCCACACCCCCATCATAAATTTAGGATGCTGTCAGCTTTGTGGGACATCATAAACAGCATTCTTGAGAGCATAAATGGCTTTCTGCGGTCCCACTGGTTTAGGAAGTGACCAAAGAGGGGAATAAATCTAGACAGCCATGCTGTGACTTGCTTCATTCAGGCAGCACAGCATGGATAAAACTCGAGACAGATCCAAAGCATGGGGGCATGTGCAGCGCAGTTAGGGGTTAATCAGAACAAGTTATCCCACAGGGAGATCCCACCCCACAAAGTTCCAAATCCCCCTTAACTTTCCAGGCTTCGTGAAGGTTTCAGCTGATTCAGATTGAAACTGCATCATCTCAGGCTAAGATCTAATTAAAATAGAAGAACTCCTTGTGTTGAAATCATCAGCTGCCTGCTGAGGGCAGGGGGAGGGCACTGCTCAAGTTGAATATCATAGAATCATAGAATGATGGAATGGTTTGGGTTGCTGAGGGTGCCCCTGATCCCGCTGTGTCATTGATGAAGATATGGAACACAGCACTGGTCCCAGTACAGGCCCCTGAGGGACACCACTTGTCACCGGTCTCCATCTGGACATCGAGCCATTGACCACTGCCCTCTGGATGTGACCATCCAACCAATTCCTCATCCACCGAACAGTCCACCCCTCAAATCCACATCTCCCCAGTTTAGAGAGAAGGATGTTGGCGGGGGGGGAAGGGGGCCGTTTGGAATGCTTTGCAGAAGAATATATGCGTATGTTTTTCTGAATTGTGTTTGTTCTGAGCCACTCAAAGACATTCACTGCCTGGGGTTTGCACACAGATAACACCGAAAAGCCACAAAACCAGAACTGATGAACAGGACTGACGCTAAGTGGAAGGAACAGAAGAAGGAGAAGGGATGGCTGAGCCGCACAGTTGGGGTGGAAAAGCTTCACTAAAATTAGGTGCTTCACATACACTGATGCTGCTTTGAGCCATTACTAGAACTGTCAGACACCAACTATTCCGAGTTAAATAGAGACTTTCTAGACTAAACAGTTTACCACAGTGCCATTTTAACTTCATAGCCTACAACAACAGCAGATGAAATACAGCCTGCTGCCATTCCCAGCTGACCCAGAAACGGGGCACTGACTTAAAGTCCTTAAGACCAAAAACTTGAACTTGCCCTGAACAGGAGGAAAACAAACAGCAGCAGACACTTTGCTAGGCCGCATGTGACCAGCAGATCCCACAACTGCAGCTCCCTATGCCATGAAGAGACTGCACAGGAAAACCGACCCCTGTGCACTCCAGAAACAGACATCTTACGCCTTTTGGTCTTGTGAAGGTCAACTATTACACAGCTAACTCCTCAAAGTTAAAGTTCCTAAACGTGGCTTTCGAAAAACAAATCATTTGATTGCCCAAGTACATTGTGTAGTCAAACTAAAATATGAAATCACTCTTCACATTGCACATTCACAGTGCTCTCCATTACCTGATTTCTTTCTCAAAGCAGGCAAGATTTCCAGTCATAACTTTGTTTTCAGAAAATAATTTTGCAGTCTGTGTGACAGTTATACCACATTCACCTTGTTCAAAAGCCTCAGGTGACTTTGATCAGCAGCCTAGAGAAAAACCCCCTCACCTTGGGTAGTCAGAGAGCTTGGCTGGCACTCCAGCCACCCAGGCATTAATGCGAGACAAAAAGCAAGCAGCATTTTATATGCCTACCAATTCAAACTGAAAACTAAACTTGGCAGCATAAGTAGATTAATAAATGAAAGCTGCTATGATGTCATCATTGATTTCTGATGAAGTGAGATGACAACGAGCATCTGAGGACAGACTAGGTCTCTACAATCGTCTCGTTCAAAGGGATTCAGCGATGGTTAGTGCCCTAAAGCACTCCCAGCTCCCACTAGAACACCTGTACCAAACCAGCACCAACACCTCAGGACACCTTTCCATCCAAAAAACTGATTGGTAGTCCGTAAAAAAAAAAAAAAAAAAAAAAAGTATCCAGCTATGGTTTTGGCAAATTTGAATACTGTCGTAGGTAAAAAGTGCCATTTGTTTGATGCAACACACCCACTCGCATCTCACGCCTGACGTGCGGGGCAGGAACAAATCCAATAGTGACCTGTAAAGGCGCAGCTTTCGGAACTTGAGAACGAAGCAGCGGAACTTGTCCTGCTTTCGCAGCACCCGAACACTCTCGCTGCACGGCACACACACACCATGTGGCAGGAGCGGGCAGCAACAAAGGCAGCTAAGGGCCAACCACCTCTTTTTCTTCCCCATGGACCAGATTTCTTTTTTTTCCCCCCACAGTGCTTCTAGCATTAAGCAGCAATCAGATAAAGGTCACCACAAATTACTCAGTTACACCAACTTTCTGAGAAGCTAACGAGTCTTGCATCGCTGCCAAAACCCACCCAGAAGCCATCACGAGTGTGGCAACTGCAAATAACTGAAACCCAGCCACAGATAAACATGTGACGCTCCAAACTCACCTTTGTCGGCAGCGGACATTCATCCAGTAGTAGCGTTATAACAGCTGGTCCCAGGGGATCTTCCAATGGAATTACTCTAATTAAAGATTGGACAACTTCCAGCCAGCCTTCATCTGTCAACCACAAAACAGAAGTCATACTCAGAATTAACACTGCAATTCTGAAGTGTCAAAAACACATCCGTAAATGCAAAGGGAAGAATCCTCAGAGTTACCCAGGGCATTTACAGACATCAGGAAGAAGAAAACAACCCCCCAGCAGTTTACTTTTTACATCAACATCTTAGTCCACAGTAGTTTGGGAGGTTAAATTCAAAGAGGGGAAAAAAGTTTACAGCTGCTTGGGCAATAATAACAAGTGCTTATATCATTTGGAGAACAGCCTTGCCCACGCCAGAGCATCTTTGAGCTCCCAGTCCTATTAGGAATGCTCATGACATGTACGGACAAGCACTTTGTTCCATTGCAGGAGTGCAGCGGCCAGCATGAACTCTTAGGTGCCCCATGCTGCAGCCACAAGGACACTGAAGGAATATTTTCTTCTAGCCAGAATCAGAGGATTCTTCCTGAGTTCCCTTCAGGTAATGCAGGCCTCAAAACTGCATTAGCTTCTCCCATGCCCAGTGGTCTAAAGAGATATCCTTTCAATGAGCAGACAAGGGCTTCTACTTCCAAGCAAACAACAAGTTGCAGATAAGATGTTAAACTACCAATAAACAGATTTGGGTTTACAAGAAAACCCTTCAGAAGTGAAAATAAAGGCAGAGCCTGTACCTGCATACGAGCGAGATTGAAGAGACTTAGCGCTCCCTTCCATAATGACAGGCAAATGTAGTAATGCACTGGGGTTTGGGTTTTGTTAGCACATTCCCCCAAAAACAGTTTACTGAATTGTTGTAATATCTAATGAGGTGGATTAATTTATTTTGATATAGAAATATATTTCCTGAGGCCAGTACCAACTCTACTAAGAGACAAAAATTCACCTGCACCAGAAATTTGGTGGAGGCCTTGAGCTGGGAGAATTTCTCCCACTGTAACAAATTAAAAAAAAAAAATCCCTTGCACAAACGGCCCAGCTTCCAGGAGCATTTGGTTGGAACAGCTACATCAGTAAAGTGCAGCTCCAAGGACAGCAGAAGCCCAGATAAAAAGCATGTGCTATTTGCCAGTGCTGGAGCACATGGGCCTAAGCCACGTCTCCATACATTTATGGGTTGTTTCTGCCTTACTGCAGAGACATTCTCTGGGGCTTATGGTTTGAAGCCTTTACAGCGTCTTTGCGGCCACCCATTGGCTGCTCCTGCAACTTCATGAAGGAAGTTCAACAGAGTTCAAAAAAAAAAAAAACCAAACCTCAGGCAAACACCATGAGCTGAGTGAAACCTCTGAAGGGCAGAACCATGGTTTGGCTCCCACACCCCCAGAGCTACAGCAAGTCACAATATGCGCTGCCAGCGCCTATTTTTCTTTGCAAAGAAAAGAAGGATTTTTTGGAGTCACAACCGAAATGCCCAACAGTGCCTCAGTACCTGTTTCTGCCATCTCATGCAATGTGATCATTGAATAAGGAGGCTCCTGGTCACTGAAAGAGATATCACACAGGTCAAAATTTATGCACAATCATCAACATAATGCACCACATAAAGCGATAACACACAGACATAAAGCGAATCCAGTACACATTTAACAGAAGGAAGATATATCAGCTGCAGGCTGCTAATGCCGTTGATCAGATCTGAAACACAGATGGGATCTGAGCCATTTCCTGGCTCAAAGTCAACACCTGCACATCCTCAAGAGCTGATAAATGAAACGGTAAGACACACCAGCATGCCTGAGAGCTAAACGTAACGCTTAGACACAGTGCTATTCATTAGTGGGGCTCCTTGGAGTACATAACAAGAGACTGTACGTCAGAGGCTGTGACGTGAACAAAGAACAGCGTATGAATACATAAAAACATGCAACACATTAAATATTAATATGCAAAACCCCCCAGAAAACTGAAAGGCAAACCACCTAACAGCATGATGGACTTCGAACTCATCCACAAGAGTTGTAAGAATCAGTTAAGGCAGTTTAACTGAAGATGTTTAACCCCATTCCCTTTTCCAACACAATGTGTGTAAGAAGTTCAATCAGATCAGTCCCTCAGCCTGGTTTGCTGAAGCAAGGGCCAGAAGCTACGGCCAGGGCACATGTGCTTATCTGAGCAGGCGCTGCTGCTGGAGGTACCTACAGCGAGACCTCAAAACCCAGTAAGGACTTCTGGGTCCGGGAAAGGCTTCTGCAGCCGCACGTCCCAAATGCTTTATTCGGTGCCATGGAGGCGTTGGGCACTAACCCCGGGCTCCATTTCTATCCCATCCCTCTGAAATGAAACCAGAAATGCTAAATACAGCTGAATTTTAGAAAATTTCAACATGGATTAATCATGTGGCTAGTAAAGCCAACCTACTTTGGAGCAGTTAATTAGAAAAGAAGAGAAAAATCTCAGTTTCAACTAAAAATATATGATAAAAATACATGCTTTTCTTAAAAAAAAAAATTAAAAAAAATTAACATTCTCTTAAATATTTGTACAAAAAAAATGCTGAAGTTTGAACACACTTCTATATTGCCATAACATTGGAAACAAATATCATAGAATCATTTAGGTTGGAAAAGCCCTTTAAGATCACCAAGTCTGACCCCCATCTCTTTGCCTTTCTTCTGGAAACATCTCCCCAGCGGGAAGAAGCAGCAATGCAAGCGGAGTTACCCCAGGGGAAAGGATGCAAAGACTCAGAGAAAGAAGAAAAAAAAAAAAACAAAGCCCGACCACAAATACAAGTACAGGCTATGATAAAAAAAAGGAAGGAATTTTTATCAGGAAGATTTTGGATTCGGCCAGGGGTAGCAGGCATTAGCAGTGCTGGTGCTGAGCAAAGGAGGGTTCTGCCCCACCGATTTGAACCAGTGCATTCCCAAACATCCCCACCTGCCTCACTTGGAAACACCACCATCAGTTTGCCTGTTTCTGCATTGTAAAGCAGCGCTTCGTATCACCTCCCCAAATGAAGTACTTCTGTCATTTCCTAGCCTCAGAAAACCTTAACTCCTTCCCTTCTAGAAAGGAATTCTCTCTAGATATGGGAGGAAGAAAAGCAGTTGTCAGACAGAGTTTAGACCTGACCTTTGAGATTTGATAAAACAACCAACCTCCCCCCCAAGAGATCCCAAACAAACAGCAATCAGGGAAAGCAGCTGCTCATTGCAGACCTCAGCAGAGCACCTTCATTTACAACTCATCTCAGCATCCCCATGTATTAACCTTCAGTACAGAACTTGGGAAAAAAAAATTGTCAGAAAAAGGGTTTTGCCTTCCATCCTTCAGAGCGCAATCTGTGGCTTTTCAAAGCTCTACCATCACATTGAAGCCCACATTTCCAACCTACTGTTACACACATGGTTTCATTGTAGTTTGACTTTGTTCTTGCACTTTTTTTGACATGAAGAGATTTGCCACCTTCCCTACCACTCCCTTCAACTGTGGCGGTAAAAAGTGAAAAGAAAGTCAGGCTCCAGGAGGAACAGGTAAAAGTGGAACATACTTATTCCTACAGTCTCTCACTTACACCGAAAACCAGGATTTCCAGACATGGATTACTTTCTCCCCCCCTCCCGCCCCAGGTGAGCATTCCCATTAATCTAAGCAGGGCTATGATTAGCTTCAAGTCTAGCAGAAAGACTCCTTAATTTTTTTTCAGACTCATTCAGAGAGTTTGCCTCAGACCCCTCCATTATTCACAGCCATAGGTCTTGTTCTTACCTGCAACAACTTGCCATATGTAGCTGTGTTATAAAACTGACTGTGCCTCACCTTAACACGAAATGAGGGAAACCAGTATAACAGTACAGCCCATTTCTGGGCTCCCCAGGATGAAAGGGGCATTGCTGTAAGTGAGCACATCTGGCAGAAGGCTACCGAGATGGGCGAGGGCTGGAGAATGCAGCATACAAACAGAAGCCAAGAGAAAGATTTGTTCATCCTTGGGGACAGGGAAATCTTATGGCTGTCTGCAACTACGTGTTGGAAAGGGCAGAGAGGATGGAGCCAGACTCCTCTCAGAGGTGTACAGCACCAGGACAAGAGGCAATAAGAATGCGTTGGAACATGGGAAATTCTAATTTTTAAAAATATTTACTTATTTAAAGCATGGGGGTGGTCAAGCACTGGAACCCAAGGAGGTGGAGAATCTCCATCTTATGAAGAGGGTCAGCACTTGACTCAGGGTAAGACCCTGAGCCACCCGCTCCAGCTAGACCTGGGTTTGAAGCAGGAGGCTAGAGCAGATGAAATTCTGGAGGTCCTTCCCAGCCTCTGTGATTATGTGAATCTAAAAGCATTTCACTGGAGTCTGTATAGAAAAAAAACAGTACAGCAGCTTCAGGAATTTGTCAGAACCAGGACTCCAGGATGAGCGAAGTAACTGCATATTGCCCTCAGTAGCATCAGAAAGCATGCACAAGGTTGCAAAACCAATTGCAAGGCCCACAGAAACAGGATCAACTATGCACAAAAGCATTGTGAAACAGTTTACGGAGCTGAACCGAGGGGAAAGGGGAAGACATGTGAGATCAGGGAGAGCCTTTCAAAACAATTTGCCGTGATTTTAACAGTGAGCTTAAGATAGACCACAAAATAAAACCTGGTAAAAACCCCACCCTCTTAGATTGAAATGTTCAGGAAAAAAATGTGTCCTGGTATTTCCATGTGAAGGATTTTACAGCAGGAAAGCAACCTCCTCTGCAGGCACGTTCCAGTGTACCGATGCAGGTACCTGCATCAGGCCTCACTTATCCTGGGCCTCCCCCACCTCAAACCCCAGCTGAAGCTACAGCAGTGTTTTTCCTTCTGTTTTGGCCTTTCCAGTTCCTAATCCAAAAGGTGATGAGCTAACTTAAGCCATCATTTTTAAGGTCCTTTTAAAGCTTTGCAGAAAGCAATGCAAAACAAAACAAACAAAAAAATCCATAAATATCCTCCACACCCCTAATGGAGGCTTTGGGCATGCAAGGAATGCGATACTGGGCTCATGAGTTGAACAGCCACAACACGTGGTCTTTAAAAAGTAGTCAGAGTTATAACTGGAAAGAAAACCTCAGTCTGTTTATAGAGGCTACCAAAGCTCAAAGCACTCAGCTTTGCTTAACCATTTCAAAAGAAGTAAACAGAAACCTTGCACAACAACCGATTTTTAGGATGGAGGTGCCCAAACTCTGGAGCGTTCATCGCTTCCTAAACTGCGTATCTATGCCAGGTAAGAAATGCTGAGCGCACTCCTCATCCCACCTGAGTGTCGGCCCACAGAGGAGCTGTGAGAAAGCGCCTCAGCTCCTGGAAGAGTCGGTGCCTGGGCACTCAGGAGTCACTTGTGTTACCTAGGAAAGGTGCTTCTCTCCTAAGCCTCCAAATGGAAATATGCAGCTGCTTCAGGGAGGGTCACATGTAGATTGGTGGAGCCACAGTTTGAGAGAAGAAGACAAGAACATTTTCATTCATGTTGAATTATTCCTTGAGGCAGTACTTACTTATCTACTAACGTCCGAATTACAGCCAGTGTGTCCAGTACTAGCCCATCCACATTCTGCTTTTTCCTTCTCGGTTCATGAGGCCCTCGACCCCTCCTGGGTGGCCGGACAGGGTCCCTTGGGTGGCTTCTTGCTTCGGGTACATGTACTCTACTGTTCTCTGTTTGCCGACTCCGAGATTCTACGTTGTCTTCTGCTCCGCTGTCATCACGGCAAACGCAAGAGTTTCCCATGTTGCTAGCCCCCAAGGCTCCCAGTAAGCAGGGAACGTGGTGCTCTAGAGTCAAGAGCAAACCTTGAAAAAGGCTTCTGCTAGCATAGAACACAACCAAAGCAACTACGATCATCTAGAAAGTTTTAAGAGTAATGTTTGTGTGCTCCTGAATTGTGGGGTTTTTGCATTGTACACGTTGCTACCAGCTGGAATGAATGGGAAGTTGGAGGCTTAGTTTCCGATATAATCGGTTATAACACACATTGGTCATCCAGAAGGAGGTCTGAAAAAGCAAACCCAAAACAAGAATCAGTGTTACTACTCTGAACGAGTAACAGAGGAGTTCCTATTTGAGTAAACAGCATCAGTCTGGGTGGACAAAGCAACTCGAAAACATAAGGGTTGTACCTGAGGTCTGTTGTGGGAAGGGGGAAAGGAGGGAAGAGGAGGAGCGGGGAGTTCACTGGGCAAGTAGCTCCCGCCCACGCACCATTCCTTTCCACACTACCTATTATTTCCCAGTTCTTCCATGGTTTCTGGATGCAGAGGAACAACGTTGTCCTTAAATCTAGCAAACTGCTACCCTTCAAGTGTGAAGTACTAACAGCTTCACATGTTCCTTACCCCTTACAGACACACTGCTCAAGCCACGCAAGCAAAGGCTGCACACTGAAGGCTCTCATTTCACATTGGGAATGTTCAGTGTTGTTTCCAGGCTCACTATACAGAACAGCCCAAATAGTAACAAACCGTCTCTTTACAGTTTTAGTTAATCTCAACAAACAACAGATTTGGCAGTGAACTCTGTGTTTAACCCATCTGCATATAAACGCCTCTTTTTGGAACATGCCTACATCAGCAGGATTCTCACCCAAAAAAGCACCAAGCACCGACCCTGAAATCAACAGGCATTACAGGCACCGTTTTAATGCCTACAAATCAAATGGGGATTTTGGAAGGGGTGGGTTTTGTGTAGGTTGTATGCTTGTTTGAGCCTAGTGTCAACCCACTCTTCCCCTTTTGGGGATTCAAGACTGTTTCCATCATTCTTTTGTTCTCGATTCAAACAGTCTGCATCAAATAAAGGCCCACCAGCAACTGGGATTGTAGGGCAGTCCCTCGGAATCACTGCATAGACAGTGCTAGAAAGTACAAAAGGATTCAAAACCCTGCCTTGTCACAAGTTCTTTTTCAAGCCATAGCATATATTTCTGTAGAACATGACGTAAAGCCTTAGCTAAAATGAAGCCCTTCAAGAGGCATCATGTCACTACTCCAAGCATGGCAGAATCAATAAGTAACTTTTAAGGCTAAACTCATGTTATTCTTTTAAGAATGAAGTTTAACATTTAAGCTAGGAATTATGGTGAATATCCTGTAACAGCTTATTACTATTCCACAATTATTAAATAATCTATTTAACAGCAGATACGTAGCACCCCAGAATTAAAAGACAAAGACAGTTGCCACCTTCAAGATATGAAAGGCTCCCTAACATTGGAGGCAACCAGCAACTGGGCGATCGCCAGCTGCCAATCGGGACAACCTCATAACGACGTTATTTGGGAAGCCAGAGGCTGGGCAAAAAAGCCAGTCTCTGGATGTATAGCTGTCACTGGAAAGGCCCCGCAAACAAGCTCTCACAGATGCTTCTGTGGGCCTGAAGTACGTCACCTTCTTTTAGCGTGGTGAAAAGTTCAGCGTTAAGGAATTAACTGAAGGCTAACTTGGGGGAGGGGGGCAGGAATCCCTCAGAGGATATTAATTGCAAAAAAACCCCAAGATCTTGACTTCTGGTTCAGAAAATTCCTAAGCCACAGAACATAAAAGGGTTTCAGCATCACAGTGTGCTTGCCTCATTCCCTAAGCAGGTTGACCACAACCAGAAGTGGGCCACCAGGCTCAGGAGTCCTTCCCCCGAGCCGGTACAGCTCTTACCCTCTCAGCCAGTAAGAAGTAGGTGCGGGGGTGCCCATACAGACTGCACAGATCTTAAATGGAATTGTGTAAGATCACAACTGGTTCAAATGGCTTTGAAAGGCTGGGAGGGTTTTGGTTGGTCGGTTTTGGGTTTTTTTAAAGAAGAGCCATTTATGTGCAATGCAAAACATGTCTCCCGAAGGAAAAAATATGCATATATTTGTGAATCCAGATCATTTAAGGCTATTTTAGTAACGTAAGTCACTAAAATGTAAAACTGCATTATTAGTGCGTCACGGATTTAGACTCTGAGCTTAGTTAAGCTGTTCTGTAACTTAGGAAAACGTTAATGCAGTGAATCGACCCTGTCATTAAAGCGAGTATGGAAAAGCTGTATTTTAGGGATTAGCAATGAATAAGGACCTACCTAAGGAAACAAAAATAGACATAAGTCAAGATTAGAACTGATTATTGAAACCTAGGGTTTTCTGTTTGACAACTTAAAGCATGATTAAAGACAAGTGGTTATGATCAACTCACCCTTAAGCGTGTTTGGTGCAGGAGCAGCAGGGCTGGCTCACAGAGCACTGCAACAAGCGGACAGTACTTCTTCAGGGCACAGACACGGTTGTATCCAGCTCCTGTAAGCCCTTATCGTGGGCAGCGAGTCATTACGGCTGACTGCTTTTACTTTCAGGAGCTACGCTGAAGCGTCCCTGAAGACAGAGGGAAAAGAAAGAACAATTCACTTGGAAGCTGCCTTGACAGCAGACGCACGCCACCCCCTCCCTACACCGCCACAACATCAAGGCACACTGTTATTTTCAGCCACGTTCAGCCTTTACAGAGGAAGTTCTCTCAAGGATTCAGAAACCAGTTTGCCACCTACTAGCTTTAGGACGAGACACGGCTACAGAGAGCCCAATCTATTTTTCCAGCCTCGGTATTCCAGACGCCACAGCAAGTGTAGAGCAGCAACCGACTCCTGCCCTCAGATCACTGCTTACAGGAACAAGAAGGGAAGCAACAACATCTGCTCCAGATCAGCCTTCAGTGGAGTAGGGACAGCAGAAAATAAAAGCAAGGACACTATAAAAGTTGACTGGATAAAGGGAAAAGGATAAACGCCCCTTATTTAGTAAAGAACTGAGTCTGACAGCATTCACTGGGCTGTTGCTTACCGTCACATACATGGAGTTCGTTGTCAAGCCTCAAACCACCTGAAAGGCTGAATAATTCATAGAATCACAGAACTGTTTGAGTTGGAAAAGCCCTTTAAGCTCACCAAGCCCAATCGTTCCCCTAACCCTGCCATCCCACCACCAAACCCTGGCCGCAAGCACCTCGTCTGCCTGGCTTTTAAAATCCCCCAGGGATGGGGACTCGACCCCTTCCCTGGGCAGCCCCTTCCAGGGCCTGACAGCCCTTGCCGGGAAGGAATTTTTCCCAATGTCCAACCTAAACCTCCCCTGGCACAACTTGAGGCCATGTCTCCTCTTTGGGGGAATTCGGTGCATAAGGTGGAAGAAGAGATGGCTACATATCCACCTTGCAAACCAGCCTGTCTGGACGGAGTACGAACACACAAAGAGGGGTTCTGAAGTGCAAAGGAAGAACTTTTCAAGCAAAGCATTTTCAAACAGCGATGTTCTAGATTGCATCTGCGCTGGCGTGTTTTCCAAAGACAGCTTCACAGCATTGTAGTGAACCGTGACTGCAGCACAGGGCTGCCGGTGGCCATCCCGACTCCCTTGCTCTCACCGCTGAAGTAAACAGGAAAGAGACATCAAACTCCAGGTCAGATCAGCACAGGATGGAACAGGGAAATGCAGCAGAGAAGGGAGATGCAAGCGATGAAAGTGATCAGTTCTGCTTCTGCCCAGGCTCCGAGACCTCAGTGACACAGCCAACACGCAAGGCCACGAGCATTTCGCACATCAGAGATGAAATACGTTAATGTTTCAGTAAGAGGTGACAATCTCTCCATAGAGATGGGAAGAAACTTCAAAATTTAACTTTAAGCCTGATTCTTGCAAATCCCCGCTCTCAACAAAACCTGGACACAAGAATGCTGTTTTAATTCCAGAAGTACTTAACAGTCTACTTCAAATATTGTGGGAATAAAAGAAGTAAGGGGATGTTGGGGTTTTTTTGGTTTTGTTTTTTTTTTGTTTTTTTGGTTTTTTTTTTTTTTTTTGAAGACTTTTGTCTAAAAAAATAAATGCAAGGAGCAAACCAAGAACATCCCAACAGCAGTATCGAGGTGGGCCAAGAGAAGCCTCTCATCCTACCTGGCAGTGGATACTTGGATGCTCAAAGCCAGGTACAACAGCAGGCACGCGGGCTCTTTCCTAGCGTTCTCACCAGAGAGTCAATAGCTCAGTCAGCCGAGATGAAGGCTGCAGGTTTGTTTTGCTGTTAACACACAGCTAAGGAGGAGACCTAGTCTTCCATAATCCATTTACATTCTTTGCAGTAGTTACACAGCAAAGAGCAGGCTTCCGCTGTAACGTCGTGACCAATTGCTAACCAAAGTACCAGTTTCCTTAAATTATGCTATGGGAGAACGTCATGTGCTTTGTGACTTACCTTGCATGGTGTAATATCACATCTTTAACCCAAATATGTTAACAAGCTAGCGGCTAAGATACACCTAAGCCCCACACAAGAGTAGGAACAAGGTTCCCTGGAAGGTCACCAGGATAGAAGCCATATTGCCCCCTGCCAGGGCTACAACGGCAGCATGCAAACATCGATTTCTTAATCAATGAGTGCAAGTCAAAGTAGATCTGGAAGCCTTCAGATGAAGCAACTGTGCATGAAAATACCAGCAAGAGCTAAGCTAGGGGATAGAGAGAGAATGGGTTCCCTATGTTAAAAGCTGTGGCTGCTTTCCCCGTGATTATCTTGATCTTGTGTCATTCGGATACACTGCAGCACTAGAAAGCCCCATCCCATCAGTTTTGCACTTGCCCAAGAAATCTTTGGCAAATTTGGAACGTGATAACAAGACTACAAAAGCTGCTCACAACATCAGCTAGATTTATAAAAGTGATAGCACGTTTATTTTACTTTGAAATGGTATTTTAATGAAAGCTTGACCCCACATTTTTAAGTGCAAGAAGTGGTAAAGGCAGCAGCTAGTACCTGCTTTTCAACAGGCAGGGTCATCCATTCACTCTGAATTCTGACCCCCAGATGTTACATTGGGATGCAGGAATATGATGTTGCCAAACATCTGATCAAAATGTAAGGTTTTATTCTATAAGAAGCATCAGGTACCAACACCTCTCTTTCTGAACAGGTACTGCGGGAGCAGCAGAACACACCAGTGTCCAACACCTCCTCCTCTATGCCAGCAATCACCTGCAGGGCACCAACTGAGCCGGCAAGTTTCCCCCCAAACAAAGCCCCAGGCTTGGACGCCGTTCGAGCTGGATGCCTCCCTAGCATGCAGATGAGCGACCTGCCACGGCTGGAGTCCCAAGTGGGAGGGGGGGGAAAGAAAAAAAAAAAGTTATCAGCCATTGAAACTAACATGATTTGAGTGGATTTGCACCTGCCAGGCAGTGCGGGTGCCCAGCCTACTCAAGAGGCCTCCTCTGGATCACCCAAGGGCGCACACCAATGGAGAAGCCGGCTCCAAGTGGCATTAGGCTTGCGTTCCCTGCAACACACAGCCCAAGAGTTGGTGATTCATCCCCTCAAACATTCAGTTGCAGCCAACCATAATACTGCCTCACGATGGAAAATGCCTCTCTTTGCCACAAAATGGAGCACGGTGCCAAGCAAAAAACCCTCATAGGCTTAAATGAGTAGGAAGGGTTTCAGCTCCTAGAGCCACTTTTCCAGCCTCTGCCACTGTTACAGGCATTAGACCATTGATTTCCCCTCTCAAGGGCAGTGCACGACGGGCACTCAGTCAGCAAAGCACGCAGCAGAGTTGACAGCTTTTCAAATGCAAAACTGAGAGTTTTTGGCAGCAGTTTCCTATTAAGGAGATAAAATAATTAGAAATATTTCCTCAGCATTGCTTTCCCAAAGTAGTGATGCTCCTAAAAAGGAAGGGGTGGAAATTCTTGTGATGCCAGCAGGATGAAAAGTCTAAACTACCATGAGAAGGAAGCACAGCTACGAATTGCTGCAAAATAATCAACTTCAAGGCAGGAATAAGAGGAGGAAGAGGCCTGTTCACAACCACAAGCTTTTATAACAGGGAGGGGATATCAGCTCTGAAACGATTGGGGTAGGTGATGAAAACCAAGATTTTCCAGTAAATTAAATACAGTTATAGTGTAAAAGTGAGACTGTCTCAGGAGATCACATTGAGATCGCAGGTCAACCTCCCAACTGTGAGACTTGTGCAACTAAAGAGAAAGAGCCACTTGGTGGCCAGCATGGCTACCACGCAGCAGACACAAGATGTGGACTTCAGGAGCCGCCACACTGGTCCTTTAGCAGGGAGTAAACAAACATCATATTGTGTAATCTGAAGCAAACCCCTAATTCAATTTTATTTTCTTTAAAAATATCCTGGAGGGTTAAGACTAGTGTCAAAACTCCACGGGAAGCAGCATTTACTGGCACACAGTGTGTCCCCATCCGCAGGACAGAGCCGTCGCCCACTGTCATTTGCTTTCTTGCTGTAGTAAGAGCACCCTAAGCCAAAAGCAGACTGACCTTGAGCCATGCCGGTTCCACAGTGAGGGAAAG